AGAAACTTGTAAATAATTCATGAAAGAATAAAGTTACGTTGAAACCAAGCACACCATTGTTTTTCTTGTGACATTACCAATAAGTTTGATGTGTCACATGGCCCCCTTCCTACTGAAAAAACAAAAGTTGTATCCAAGATGGACGACTTCTAAATGGCCACCATGGTCACCGCCCATCTTGAGGAGTTTGCCCCCTCACATATACTAATGTGCCACAAACAGGACTTTAATATCACCAACCATTCCCATTTTATTATGGTGTATCCATATAAATGGCCCACCCTGTAGATTCACTAATTGTGGTATGTAAAATAAAAACATTTATTTCTCAAAGGGGAGTACCTCATTTCTACATGCTGTAGATTGACAGCACCTCCTTCTGAGAGTGTCTTTCTAAGAACTGTTGTTGATGTATTTTATAGCTTTAGGGAACACCCCAAAGGTGTACTTTAATGGATCAGGTTAGGTTCAAAGCATACTTAAAGTTCAAATGACACAATAACTGACAGTTCAACATCCTGCAGATGTTCCAAGACTCTCTGTCTTTCAAAGATTCAAAGACATCTTCTTTTTTTCTTTTCTTTTTTTTTTTGTGAGCTGTCCAAGTTTATTTCTGACTCGTACATACAAGCAAAGCTAACATATCACAACGTTATGGTCAAAAAACTGCCACAGCGCACATTTTCCTTTTTTTTTTCTTTTTTTTTTTTAACAGTAGATACTTTTTTTAATTCCACGTGTTGAGAATGAAAAAAGAAAACAAGCAGAAGAAAATGAGAGCAATAGAATAAACAACATCACGATGATATATGGGAATACAACAGTAAATACTAAATATTAAACATTATTGTGCAGCACGTAAGATCGACAGCGCACAGTGTGCTTTGAGGTAGGAGACAAAAAGGGTGTAGTTTGTGTGTGTGAGCACCCGTGTGTACACCTGTGAGCATGAACGCGCTTGTTTTTAAAAGGTTCCTTCATGTAATAATCTGCTAGAGGGTGTGGGGAGCCACAGCCCAGTCCTCCAGGGCATGAAGCAGGTATGGAGGAGATCAAAACTCCAGACATCCAGAGGCCCCCAGAACACAAGAGACCAAGGAAGACCAACAGAGGGGCAACCACGCCACTATCCCAGAAAGAGCTGAGGAGAGCCCCAGATGAGGGCTCACTCAGCAGCCGCGGAGCAGAAGCCAGGGGGAGTTGCAGTGACGTGCCCGTGAGCTCCGCTGGCAGCCAGCTGTGCCAGAGTGACCGGCCCCAGGCCGAGAGGCTGAGGGCACCCCACCCCCGAAGCGGCCCGAGCGAGCCCCAGGCTCCAGGCCCCGATAAGCAGCCACCAAGGAGTGAGCCTGGACGCCCATCCCCGGACACAAAGAACCACCAATGCACCGATGTCTGAGGGCATCTGCCACTGGTAGGGGAAGTGGTGGGGGAGATAGGCCTCCATACCTTGGAGGACCAAAGACATCTTCAGGTCTGTGACTGGCATCTCTGATAGTTTCTTCCTGTTACCTTCTCAATAGATCACTGGATGAAGACTTTGTCTACGGCCTGGAAAATGTACACTCTCAAAAATAAATTCGAAGCTTGCAATTGCTCAACAATTTTATTGATGTAAATATCAAGAGAAATGTTAGATTGCATCTACTTACCAGTAGTTCAGGTCAAAATGTTTTTTATTACAGATTATTATTTGAGCTTCAACCAGTACTAATCAGTTAAAATACAGGGCCTGGACTTCAGTGTGGGAGTCTACTGGCAACCACTGGCCAGTATATAGTTGCAGTAAAAAACAAAGAAAAGAAAAAAAGCCACGCACTTAAATGTATAGCCTGCTCGAACCTCTATAGAGAGCTAAATATGATTTTAGTTTTATTATCTGCCATAGTCGGAATTAGTGTGTAGCCTTTTTGTGGCCAAAAATCTGACAACAAATCAGGTAAGTATACAAAATGACCGTTAAGTGATTTAACAGAGACCACGCAGGTCGTCACAAAATGCATAAGCCACAAGCCCTGGCAAGTGTTTCACCTCTAGAACCTTACTGTCACGATCCTGGGTCATATGACCCAGTGTTTTGAGTTTTAGTTCTTTTGATGTTTATAGTGTATGTTTAAGCTTATTAAGTTTCCTATATTCATTTGCTTATTAGTTCCCCCTTGTGTTTTCAACCCCTGTGAAGTCTCCCTTGCCCTTCGTGTGTTTCATGTCTGTGGGTCTTATGTTGTCAGGTCTGCGTCTCATTATATTTCCTGTTTTATTTTGAAGGGGTCCTGTGTTCCTATGTTCAATGTTTTTAGTGTTACTCTCTCCTTGTGACGTCGTTATGTTCATGTGTGTCAGCTGTTTCTCCATGTGTTCCCACTTCCCTCATTATCCTCCTGTGTGTATTTAGTCCGTGTGCTTTCAGTCATTCTTTGTCAGGTTGTCTGCTCGTCCATGTCACAACTTCAGGTATCTATGTCAGTTCACCATGTTTAAGGTTTTTTCCATGTTTAGTTTTAGTTCACCAAGTTTAGGTTATTGTTTAGTTTCACCAATGCCCTTTTATTTGTACCCTTTTTGCTAGCCTCAATAAACGGCTTGTTTTTTGTTAAATCCACGCCACGTTCAGTTTTTGGAGTCTGCGTTTTGGGTCCTTTTTGTCAACACATACAGTCTGCCCTCGCCGGACTGTGACACTTACATCTCCAGCATACATAGAACCACTTATGCAACAATTAAATATTCTTTAAGATAAAATGCAGCTCTCTCCTAAGGATAGCACTGCAAGAAGGCTTTCTCATCCTAAATATGTGAACAATAATTACATACACCAAGTCAATTTCATTTTTATACTACATTTAAAAGTGCAGTTGGCAGTTTTACATTAACTGTATCCAAAGAAAAAGCAAAACACAGACAAGCATACAAAAATGAAAACCAAGCAAAAAGCACAACAATGATAAACAGCATGAAAATTGTGGGATAAAATTATAAAAGGAAAAAATGAAAAACAAACACGGATAAAATCTAACAATAGAAAATAAATAAAGCAGTTACAATACAGTGTTATACATATTTTGATATGAAGTTATCTTTATTGCTACCAATTGTTTCAACTACACTATCAATTATGAGGCAAATGTCTGCATATCCTGGGAAATTACTGACATAAACAACTGTCTGATGATGCTGTTATAAAACCTATTGACAACAGTCAAGCAACAAAGATCAGACATGGGTACAATGTAGCAAAGACAAAAAGAATAACTGTAAAAGTAAAATTCACAGCAAATTTAAGCACTAATTAGTTACCTGCAGACGCATGCTTCTGAAAAAAGAAATGAAAAAAGCACACACACCGCTAGCTCTAATTAATAATGCCACACTGCACTTTTTATTCCCTTTACAAACTAATTGTCATGAGTTATGTATTGCTTTTTTCATACAACTTAAGAATCCAGGAGCTGCATTTTGAATCATTTACAGTGGAGAAAGATGATATACTATACCTCCCAAATCTAGGCAAAAACAACGACCACAGAGGAATCGTTGGATCAACAAAAAAAATATAATAAGAGACTCAAAGACCTCTTTTGAGATCAGAGATTGCAGTATGAATCAAAGAACTGTCTGCACTGTTACATTTGGTCATGCTGGACTTCTGCTGCCATCAACAGGTGAAATCTGGGCTCAATGACATGATTTAATTCCACTTTCTTTTCTTTCAGATACTTTAAAAGTTACCGTTTGAGGAATAGCCTCTGACCAATTTGGTTTTCACCATAACAGTTATTTTTAAGGTGTCACTTACTGCTCACATTTAGTTTATTAATTTGCTCAGTTACCAGTTCAGGGGAAAGAGATGGTTCTCCCTGTTGAAATTGAGGCGTAGCAGGAGGGTATGCAGGTACTGAAGGTGATGTGAATCCTGGAACTGAAAACCCGTATGGAGCAGCACCTTGTGGCCACTGGTTAAAATTGCCACTTGTTATGTTTGCATGCTGAGCGGGATCCAGTGAGGGACAAGCACCTGATCCAGTGGGGAAGGCAAGGGAAGGGTAGTTGCTGTAACTTGGAGCCCAGGCTCTCCCGGGTGGGTAAGGGCCCACAGGCTCCCCAGGCTGAATGGCTGCAAATCTGTAAGGAATGATGACCAGTGGAAACACCACCTCTGGGTCAAAGGCAAAACTAATGTCTAGATATACCTGGAAAAAGTCAGAGATTTAGAATCAAATCAGACTAAAGTAACCATCAAATTAAAAGTGCAATTTATAAAACTACCAATTTTACTTTTTTAATTTGACATATAATTATTATTTGTTATGCTTTTTTATGCAGCGTCTTATCTTCATAGTAGTTATTAATTATTTAAGAGGTTAAGACACACATTTTCTTTATCTATTATTTACCTACAAACATTTACAACCAAAGTTCACCATGAAATCCCTATGACATAGTTTTATACCTTTAACTGATATTCAACTGAGATGATATCACAGTTACGGAGGGTGGCGATGGCATCACTAGGAATCTTCAACTGGCGGGAGGCAGTTTGCTCTGAGTTTGGACGGATAGTGTCCCCGACCTCTTTGAACAGAGTCTCATCACAGGTTTTAGTCTTGCCATCGCATCTGTACACTATTTTCTGCTGAAGTTTGAATTTGGGTTCTATGTTCTTGGAGGAAGAGTTACAGATTTTGGCAACAACAGATAAAGTTTCACCTGTCAATAGCAAATGTTAACAATGAGCTTAATTTTTAAATCTATTCACATTTTATTTTGTAAGTTGCAGATATTTTACCTGGAAAACAAACTCCTCTGCTAATGGTAGCAGACATTTGAACCTGTCCCTTAGAGAAAACACCGACGTCTTTACTCACTGAACTAGATTGTGGACACTGTAAAGAACCAGACAGACTTTTTTTTTTTCAGATCAACTCAATTGTAATTCAGATGTCAAATTTATAACACATCATTGTAGTGTTTACCATTACTTGAGGAGTGTTTAGAAATGCCTTAGAAACAAACTTGATCTCTTTTTGTACTGCAGAAGGCAAATGCCAGCTCCGACATATCTTTGCTTCAACCACATAGACAATTTTTCCATGTTTCCCCTGGAAGGACGAAGGCATGTTCCTAAAAAAACAGAATCTAGTTATTTGTAAAAGCAAACTACAGCACGGTATTAATGCATGAAGCCAGAAATTCCCACATACCCCTCTGGGATTTTAAGCCTGAATTTAAAAGTGTGGGCCCCTTGGGGGATAGAGATAGAGATATTATAGAGGTGATAGTAAGCTGATTTTGTTATTGTCTTAATGTGTTTTTCTAAGTTTAGGTCTGCATCCATCACTACACCCAAATTTCTCGCCTGGTCTGTGGTTTTTAGATGTATAGATTGAAGTTCTCTGGTGACCTGTAATCGTTTTTCTTTGGCGCCAAAGACTATTACCTCAGTTTTGTTTTTGTTTAGCTGGAGAAAATTTTGGCACAACCAGTCATTAATTTCCTCAATGCAAGACCAAGAGCCTGTACAGGGCCTCGGTCTCCTGGTGACATTGTGATATATATTTGTGTGTCATCTGCATAGCTATGATAGTTTATTTTGTTGTTCTTTATAATCTGTGCCAGTGGGAGCATGTAAATGTTAAACAGAGGGGGTCCCAAGATGGAACCTTGGGGAACTCCACATGTGATACTTGTCTGCTCAGATGTGAAGTTACCTATTGATACAAAGTATTTCCTGTTTTCTAAGTATGTTTTGAACCAGTTTAGTACAGTTCCTAAAAGACCTGCCCAGTTCTCCAGTCGTTTGAGTAATATGTTGTGGTCAACTGTATCAAATGCTGCACTGAGATCCAGTAAAACTAAGACTGACATTTTTCCACTGTCTGTATTCAGACATATGTCATTAAACACTTTGGTCAGAGCAGTTTCAGTGCTGTGGTTCTGTCTAAAACCTGACTGGAAGGCATCATAGCAGTTATTCTGTTTTAAGAAGTAATTGAGCTGTTGAGAAACTGCTTTTTCAATGATCTTACTTAAAAATGGGAGATTTGAGATCGGCCTGTAGTTGTTCATTTGTGTCTTGTCAAGAGTGTCCTTTTTCAGTATAGGTTTTATTACAGCAGTTTTTAGTGGTTCTGGAAACACACCTGACATTAAAGAAAAGTTGACGATCTGTAACAGGTCTGACTCCAAAGTCTTTGAGACCTTTTTGAAAAAACTTGTTGGCAGGACATCTAAACAGCAAGAGGAGGAGTTCAGTTGACCTAAGATGTCATCCAGGTCTTTGCTGTTAATAGGGTGAAACTGTTTCATGGTGTTTAAACTGTTTTTCGGTGGACACAGTACATATCCTGGATCTGCTGTTGATGTACCAATTGCTTGTCTAATCTTTTGGATTTTTTCTGTGAAGAATTTGGCAAAGTCATTGCAGGCCATGGTTGAATGAAGTTCAGCTGGCACTGGCACAGGAGGGTTTGTTAGCCTGTCAACTGTGGAAAATAAGACCCGAGCATTATGACTGTTTTTAGTGATGATGTCAGAGAAGTAGGACCTCCTTGCACTCCTCAGTTGTAAATTATAATTGTGAAGTTTCTCTTTATAGATGTCATAGTGAACCTGGAGGTTTGTTTTTCTCCATCTGCGCTCAGCTTTCCTACACTTTCTTTTTTCATTTTTCACTAGTGTGGAGTTTCTACATGGAGACTTTTTCCTTCCAGAGATAACCTTCACCTTAATGGGAGCAATTGTATCCATTACATTTAACATTTTTAAATTGAAGCTATTGACGAGCTCATTGACTGAACCTCTGGACAGGTCAGGTGTTAATGGGAAGACCTGGTTAAAGATCTCACTACTGTGTTCAGTTATACACCGTTTTGTGATCACTGCTGTTGATATATTCGTGTGGGCTGAGATTTTACTTTCAAAGAAAACACAGTAATGATCAGACAGGCCCACATCAGACACAGTAATGTTTGAAATGCTCAGGCCCTTGGATATCAGTAGGTCAAGAGTGTGTCCTCTATTATGTGTGGCCTCTGTTACATGCTGAGTCAGCCCAAAGTTGCCCAGAGTGTTGCTCAGATCTTTAGTCCCTTTGTCCCGAGGGTTGTCCACATGGATGTTAAAATCCCCAACAATAATTACACAGTCGAAATCAACACAGATCACAGACAGCAGTTCACTGAGGTCATTAAACAAGTCTGTGCAGTATTTGGGAGGCCTGTAAACAGTAAGAAACACAACTTTGGATGGGGCCTTCAGCTGTAAAGCCACATATTCAAAAGACTGAAAACTTCCAGG